CCTACATCATGAGAGATGTGCAACAGATATCTGTTGAAGGAATACATTTGTTTTTAAATTTTAGGAGCCAATTACTTAGTCTTTGCTAGGGGCCAAGTCTCATGGCATTTTCTTTGACTAGAACTAGATCCTAAGTGAATGAATCATCAAAATATGAACCTCACACCTTCCCTGCATAAAGATCTTTGCAACTTGAGTAAGTTATAAATATGTAACGTTTCTAAAGAAGTCTCCTGAATAGCTTTTCACCTCCCTCAGTCAGATGGTCTCCAAGACTCTTACAGAATATTCTCGCTGTCCTGACCTTCCTTCTTTAACTTCACCTTCTAGGAGTCTCTCTTTCCTTGGCCGGCTGGCATCACCCTGGCTTCCTCACGGTCCCTTAAACACGCCAGGCACACCTGTATCTCAGGGCCTTCGCTGTTCATGGCATCTTTCTCACTGTTCACTTAGACAAGTGCCTTGCACACAGACGATAAAAAAATAAATATTTGAGTGAAGAAATATGAGAGTCCATTGCCAAAAGGGGGCTGGGTTCTTCCTACAATGGCAGACACAAAAGGAAATGCCGCTTTTTAAAAATGTATCACTATACATGATGTACGAGTTAAGTGGGCATGTTTAAAACTGCTGAAATACTATTTCCCCTGAAGAAAATATCTAAGTGATCGAGTTGCTTCAGCTACCGTGGCAACTGGATATGCCAGAACCACTGTTGTTGCCCAGGCACACTAAAAATAACCACACGATTTCGAAAGTGGTTGAAAGCTCTGTGTAGACAAGGGTTATGGAAACCTGGAGGCCAGGAAGTGTTTCTGCTGTTTCTGAACAATTCTTTGCCTCTTCTGGGCTGTGACAATGCATTACGTATACATGACTTCCGTTAAGTATGCTGAGCATACCATTGAAAAGTGTCTGCCTGGAAAAAAAGCAGCGGGTTTGAAAAGAGCCACAGCAGCACTGGGGTTTTCATTCAACACATGCAAGTACCTTCAAATAACTAAGTTAGATGGCCACATTGCTTATGGAAACCTACGGGAATTATCCATTATACACAGTATACAGTGTACATTCTGAACTGAGTATCTCTCCATAGCACTGCAATGGTCTACCAGTTCTCAGATCTATATTGAACCATTTCAGATAAAATTCAGTTTTGCTTTGAAATCTTGGTTATACACATTTAAGGGTAAGGTTTATGATTAGCTGTACACGATAGGAGATACTATTATCAGCAAGACTACATCTCAGCTTAGAGAGCTCTTTTCATCTCTATCTGTTTCCTTCCTCACCGCCCTGGAGAATCCCATTCGTATAGGTCGACATCTGGCAAGAGGAGTACAGAGACAAAAGAGTAATGTACTGGAAAAGAAACTCATCAAAAAGTCCGAAAGCTTGAGTTTTGTTCTGGACCCAGACTGGAATAAGCCATTTACCCCTGATGTCAATCTCCTCCTACCCTCCTGTGGGAACGAGAGGACTTAGGCTAGATCACCGGCTCTGACCAGGGAGTGCACAGACAGCTGGGCCGCGGTTCCCGCCTCTCTGTGCTCCAGCTACTGGCTTACTGGAATTATCCACGGGGCTGTATGTAGTTCTGCCTGTGAGAAACTATTCTCTCTCTGGGACAGTCCACTGCCAACTTCCTCAGGGGTGGAGAATCAGGCACGACACACTTTACACAGAGCTTATTCATTCAGTAACATGAGAATTCATTTGGAATTGGAATCCATAGTATATTTGTAATTTTTGCTTACAGTCCAAAAGTTATCCAGTAACGTACAGTTTCTGACGTTGGCTGTCACCATGGCAAGGAACGAATGAACTCTACCCCATGCCCATATAAGGCTGAGCTAGCTGCCTGCTCCGGGAAGGGAGGGCTGTGCAGCCAGGCATTGTCATCACCGCTACAGTAGCACCGTGGGGAGAATATATAGTCCGGGACCCCAGGGGAAGCTGTGGGAAAGAACAAGCTCGGCACACAGCTCCCTGAACAGCAAAATCCATCCAACTGCTATTTTTGTGCATTACATTACTTAAAAAATATACGATCAAGCCACAAGTAGAACAGAAATAGCCCTGCTTTCTACAGAACACATTGAGATAAATTTGCTACTCACCAAATTTTTAATATACATATGCCAGGATTGAAGAACTGAAACTAACACTACCTCTTAATAAATGATTTAATGAAGTATATGCAATTGTCCTAACAATACATATCTTTAGTAATGTACTAGGTTTACCCCACAGAAAATGATAAAGGGCATCACTTATTTCTCCTCAGTAGGTTTTCCCCTTAACTTTTACCATGAGTCATTTCTGTCATCTTATTAATATTCAATAGCACATTTGAATCAACTGGGCACAATGGGTAAAAACCAACCAACCTGGACCTGTGTGGACAAAGGGCAGTGTGAGTCTCTGTCCAGCACTGATGCTGTGTGGACCACCGTGCGGTGTGAAGAGGACAGCCATCTGAACACTGCGGACAGTGGTCCTGCAGGCCAGGCCCCACGGCAGGGTATCATTTGGCTCTGTCTCTTAACCGAACTACTCAGACAATTGCCAAAGCTCAACTTAATTTGATCAGTACTCATAGCCTGTCTGAATATAGGCAAGCCACGGCCACACCGGCTGAGGGTGCTCACATTCATGACGTCAACCAGATGGTGTCCTGTTTCTACTTCATTTGTCAGAACAGGCTCAAGGTATTTTCTTAATTAGTGACAATGGGACATGAAAAGGTTTCAATGCCCGTACTGTAAACTTACTATTAATTAGAGAGACCTAGAGACCCTTATAAACCTTCCTTTTAATAACTTCTTTGAAAAGACCTCTGGCATTTTTATAAGAGTATGCTGCTATGTAGGTGGTATTATCTATCGAAATAATCAGAATGAGCAAGCTTTATTGAAGAACAAAATTCTTGTAAAAGCACCAGGGGAAATGTTAATACACTGGTTCTAGATTAAGTAAATAATTGTACAAAGTGAAAAGCGTGGACCTGGTAACCTTCTCCTCAGTTTGTTCGGGGCCTGTCTGGCTGATCACACAGAGAAGAATGCAGAGTCCCTCTAGACCTGAACTCCCTCCCACACGGGCGCGTCTCCCAGATGTTTGTGCACCGCTAGTTTATCTTCCCTGAGCCCATATAAGGCCAGCCAGTGCTTAGGGTGGGGAGCGCTCTGCAGCCAGACACTTCCATCACTGCTCCAGAAGCATCACTGGGGAAATGCATAACAAAGGACCCCAGGGGCATTTTAAATCTCATGGAATGGCTTTCATACATTTTAAAAATACATATCCTTGTTAAATGCTGATAAAGGAACTTCAGCTAGAAAGTCCTAAAGTATAAAGCCCCCACTCCCAAAGAGAGGAGAGCCCATTAGTAAGACGATGGCAACGACAAACTGTTTTGAGGATTACAACTCATGAGGACACAGCATATGGATGGAAGCTTTGATCTAGGGGCAAGAAGCTTCTCACTGTGACCTTTACTATTAAAAAACGAGCAGGCACATGTTATTAAATACAACCACCACATTAATAAAGAGGTTCCCTATTATAAGTTTACTTAATACAGGGGTCCCTAAATCCTGCGCCATGGACTGATGCTGGTCCATGGTCTGTTAGACACCAGGATGCCCAGCAGGAGGACAGTGGCAGGCAAAGGAGGGAAGCTTCGCTTGCACTGCTGCCTGAGCTTCGTCTCCTGTCCAGAACCCGCCCCCCCCAACCCTGCAATCCCTGGTTCACAGAAAAATTGTCTTTCATGAAACTGGTCCCTGGTGCTAAGAAGGCTGGGGACTGTTGACTTATTTGATTTTTGGAGGGGGTTCAGGAAGGATGAATGCAGTAACATCCTACTACAGAGCCCAAGATCCAACAAGATGGTCCTTTCTCCTGGGGGGTAGAGATGGGGAATGGCTACTTTAGAAACTGATTTCAGGATTCATGCTGGTAAAACTCATCGGAATACCTGAGGACTGCAGTAATTTCTGTTTCCAAAGACGGGGCAATGCGGGCAAGAATTCGCAATTGCCTCTAACATCCTGGCATTGGAAAAGCATGCGTTCTAGAGGAAAATGCATGATTCCAAAGCATGAAGACTCAAAAGACCCCGTCATAAAGCAAAATACTGCTGCTCACACTGCCACACACCAACATGGGCTTAAACATATATACAGGGTCCAGCAGAAGTAAGGCCTGCTTGAGTGTGGTTGGTAGAGTACTAATACTGGTGGAATGATATAGTTTTAATTTGAACATTTCCCCTAAAGTGTCATATGGTGTGCTTCAGTATAATGTTATGTTACAGAATTATATGCTTATGATTTTGTAATAAAAAAGGGGTGTTATTTGTGCTGGACTTTGTATAAACAGTATCTTTTTTTAAGATCAGTAATGCCAAGACTCAAACATCAGCTTTGACGGAAACAGAATGAGAGGTCACTCTGATTGAACATATTAAACCCCGTATCAGTTCAAATTCTACCAGCTGTTATAATAATTTGGGGCGACCTTTCTTTTCTTATCTATGAAATGGGTTACATAAAGGACATTCAGGAAATGAGAAGAATAATTAAAAAAATTAGAATGATTCTCAGTGGTATGAGGCTGGTGCCTTCTAGTTTGAACATCTATATTGCAGTATGAATGCAACTATATTTTCTCTGCGTAATACTTCTATAAAACCTGTACTTATATATCACTATAAAACATAGTTGCATTATATATACATATACAGGCATACATTTATAACAAAAAATAAGAGAAAAGATGCTTAAGATAGTTAGCATTATTCTTAATTTATTAAGAAAGTAGTATAAACTGATTCAATTTTATATTATATTATTGTTTGTTCCAGTAGAGAAGAATGTGCCTGCATTATATTTCTTAGGAAAGCGTGCGGTTGACTTGATCAGGCAACTATAGGCGCTTCCACTTACAATGGAGGGTATAAGGAAAACAAAGTCTATTGCGATGCGATGACTTACCCGCCCTCCTTTCTCAGGGTAGCACTGGCAGCCGCCACTGCAGTCTCGCCCTCCACAGGCCACATCAAACTTCTTCACACCCTGCAAAAAGAAAACACAAAGCAAAGAAAAAGTTATATAAAATCCTGTCAACTACAGTACATATCATAATGCTATCTGTTGAGAGTACTTCCAACTCATAGCAACTATCTATTCATTCAAAACAAATAGACTTTAATTTTTAGAGCAGTTTTAGGCCGACAGCAAAGGCACAGAGATTTCCCATAAAACCCCTGCCCCCACATGCTTTCCCCATCAACATTCCTCCAACAGAGTGGGACGTTTGCTAAAAATCTATGAACCCACAATGGCATGTCATTATTATCATCCAGAGTCATAGTTTATATCAGGGTGGCCCTTGGTGTTCTCCATTCCACGGCTAATAAGCCTCTTTTCAGTGCCTACTAAGTACCAAATGCCAAGGTAGATCTGGGCGTGGAAATCAAGGAGAACATTCCCTGAGTCACAGGGATTCCATGTGAAGTAAACCCATACTAACACTGTGTTAAGAGGTTTACTATGAAAAAAGAACCTCCATGCATATAGGAAGTGCCCTTCATTCTGCCTGGAAATGTGGGCGATGCATTCTAGAGGAGGAGCTGTTCAAGGTTAAGTTAAATAGGGTACGCAACTCTGGGCCCCCACCCCACAACACAGATCCTGGGGGGTTAAAGGGAGGAGGGTTCTAATGAGGAGGAGGAACTTGCAAATACACCTGATAGGATGACAAGCCCTCACGTCCGTAGGTACCATGACACCCATGGTGCTCCCCTGCAGAGCAAAGCCCACTTCCTTCCCTTCACTCTGCAAGCAGTGCTCATGTACAGTAGGAGGGTGCAGGAAGAGTATGTATTATTTAGTCAGGTTGGGGTGGCAAAATAGAACTTTTTTATCATACACTGAGATATAACTCTTTAATGAGCTGAATGAGGCATCCGAGGGAGTTCTCTGGCTGGACAATTCCAATCAGGATTAGGGGGAAAAGGTGTTCCTTGCCCTCCATCTAGGTTTTTCAGGTAAAATATGGACTTGGAGATTGGACTGTGTCTGAGCAGGAGGTCCGGTCGGCCCTCTTCTCTCTCCTCTGATCAGCCAAGCCCTCCCATTCTCTTCTGAGTTAAGTCTCATTGACTAAAGAGGATGGTAGTGTGGGAACTCCCTCTGCAGGTTTTCCAGCTGCTCTCCATGCTAGCACCCTCTCGTCCCTGGCGCAGCACTGGACTTTTACATGGAAATGCAGGCGTTCTACCTGGCCGCCTCTGTCACTCACCAGCATGGCCTTCCTCAATGTGCAACCTTGGATGGCACACAGGTGAACTTGGACCTGAAACCACCTGGCCAGAGTTTTCCTTAGACCTCAGCAAGGACCACTGTTCTCTTTGTAGAGAGGTCTCATTTCAAAGTTTCACTTTTGGTTTGTTTTTCATTATAATTCTTTACCTAATCTACTATCAGTCACTACTTTAGAGAATTTAAAAAAATATGGAAATCTCATATCCTGTAAAGAAACCAATACCTGGAAAGCTTTTTAAATCTCCTTTAGGTTATCTTTTTGGCCTGAGTGAGGTAATGAAACAGCTCAAGTCTCACAGTGTAAAACATGTATAGAATCCTTTCATGCCCTCAAAATATAACTCTAAGTGTTTGCCATTTTTTTAAATGGCTTCAGTGTTTATCTACAGTGGGGATCATTATTAAATTCCATTATTTTGAATACTTGATTTTTATAAATTCAGCTCCATGCTAAGCCCTGGGTTTTGTGGACTGCTCTTAGCACTGAAGAGAGAGGTCTAGAAGGGCTGCCATATTTATATTTTGCTTTACGTCTGTGACACGAATAGGTACACTGGCAGGTGTCCCTGGTCCATACAATAATTCATTTAGCAGTTGTTTGGAAAGTGGTGGGGGACTTATCAATCTAATGGGTGAAGCATAAATTCTTATTCTCCATCTGGTGTTTTACATGCTATTTTTAGTTTTGATCTCTGTATATAAATAAATCTCTGTATGTAAAGCCACTTGCCAAATCTCTGTATATAAATCAATGGTTAAAATGATTTTAATGGTTTCAAATTGATCCAATAGACTCTCTACTTTAGGCTTAAGCTATGCACTGGATTTATTTATAGAAATGAGTTCTTCATAACCTGCTCAAAATGTAATAGTGCTTCTTTGCTTTTGGAGGTAAGACTTGAAGGACTGATAACTCCTGGTCTCAATACTTTTTCAACTATGTGTCAGTGGCTCAGATACCCTGTCTCAGGAGGTGATGAATACATCATCGACAGGTAGCCCTCTACCTTACAAACCACAGATGATTCTGTCATGGAATTCCAGCCTCACACATGTGCATTGCTTCTGTGTGTATGTGTGTGACGTAATGTGGGGTGTGTACGCATTTTCCCATCAGCATCTTACATATACTACAGAAGGACTCTTATAAATTCCAAATCGACAAGAGCCCTAAGTACCATACACCGGAATGTCAAATCTCTGGGATGAACAGAAGTATTTACTTTATTAGGGAAGGGCATGTGTTCTAGAAATAGAAATCTCTTAAAGACTGAACAAGTCTCAGACCTGAGCCTCTGCATTCCCTTGATGGGACCTGGGCTCTGGAACAGTCTCAGGACATGAATGCCCTTCTGAGGACCTTGGATGAGGCATGTGTCAACCCACGTCTGTGTCCCAACTCCCACCCCATTCCCAGACAGAAGAATATTAAAAGCTCACACCAACCACTGCCAATGCTCCAAGCTCTTGAGTCTACCCTTGCTTTCATTGCTCAACACAACTCACAAGACAAAGCATCATCCTTCTTATTGTCAGATCCTTGATAAAGATGACTGGTTCCCTCCCATCCTACACCCACCTCAAGAGTCTGCCGACTACCCTCAAAGGTGGCCCAGTTGGGATCTTCAACTTCAGAGTACCCAGGAAGGTATGCTCTCACTTGTATAGTTCAGGCTCTTTCATAAACATCAATTAAAGCCTCCAATTTGAAGTTTTTCACTTCAAGTCTGAATTCCCATTGGTAGCACTGTGTAGAGCAATATTCCAAATCCCTGCTCTTCCAAGGCCCCCTGTAGATCACTGGGCCAGGAGGATCCCATGGACCCTGCTCAAGGTGTAAAGAGTATCCATTGTCATGGATCATACCCCAGTTATTAACCTGAGCTGGCCAAACTCTCCTCCACCTTGTTTTGAGGTCCTTCATCTCTGGGCAGAAAGGACTCATGGCCTAATGAGACCAATTATACTGAAAATCAATGAAAACTGGTAAGGTCTCCCACCCCCTGGAAATGCCTGACTCTAACATGCACAAATCCCGCGGCTTCATATTCACCCGGAAACTCTCCTATCCAGCCTCTGGAACCACCAAGGAGCCTGCGCCATGTGCTTCCCAGCTTTGAGTGTTCAGGGGCACACTTTCCTTCAGCTGCACCAGTGAGAAATCACCTAACTCCCCCAACTCCAAACTAATGTGACAGCTGAAAGGGGTCTTGGGGAGAACTCATCCACCCTTCTACATTGAAAACTCATTCACTCATTCATTCATTCATTCTTCACTGAATGTTTACTCTGGGTGATGCACTGTGCTGGGCAGTGGATAAAATGTAGGGCCTACAGCGTGCAAACAAGTTGACAAGAAAATTAAGTAAACATACAATGAAACCTACATAATTTCAATTATGGTGAGTGCCATTAAAATCATACCAGGTAACAGACTACCTTAGCCAGGGCTCTTTCCCTTGGGCTCCACTGTGCTCCCTTCTCCTTACAGACCTACCTCACAAAGAATAACCTCCCTGCTGTCTGACCTGAGACCCTTGCTGCTATTTCCAAGGGGACAGACAGAGAACCACTCACCTTCATGCTTAGAAAAGCAAGACCTATGGATTATTATCATCAGGAAATCAGGAGCATCTTAAATTGGAGTGAATTTGAATCCATTCTTCTTATAACCCTCAGGATGCCCCTTCATAGCTGGATCCCCCAACTCCTGTCTAAGGACTCAATTTCAATCCATTGCTACTTTATAATCCAGGACAGTCCGCAAGTGTGGGACATCCTCAGTCCTCCTTGCCCAGCCGAAGTCATCTCAGTTGCTACTGAGATACTTGAATTCAAACTGTGGATCTAACTTCCAAACTTTGGAAGGAGTTTGACTACGGGGATTAATCAATAATTTCCTCTGCAAAAAAAATGAACATTTACTGAAGACCTGCAAGTGCTCCCATCTTGGCAGCTGTCTGGTCACCCATCAACCTAGAGACTAGGCCCCACTGAATTCATCTGCTCCTTCCAGAAGAAGTAGATGAATTAAGAAAGTTGGGGAGAGGTATTGCAGACTTGGGAAGGGTTATTAATTTTGATGTCATTGTAAGCTTTTGACATCTCAAAAAGTGTTGTGGAAGTGATATCAATTTTGAACAATAAGTGTAATTATAAGTTTTGGAAAAAAGGATAAAAAGAAAGCAGCTTAAACATGAGAAGCATAGATAGACTGGGAATATCTCTAAGCTACATCTGGAAGAGATGGAGGATGGGTAATCTTTGAAACAGTTAATATTTGCAAGGGAAAGAGTGGAGTGGAGAGAGCTGTGGACACTAAAGAAATGAGAAAGAGAGTGTTTGGTGATCAAAGAGTTTGAGGAATATTTACCTGAAAGTAGTGTCTCAGTAGGAGGAGGGAGAGAAGGAAGGCTGATTGATCAGAGGCAGAGGCTCAGACATAACACACAGAGGTAATCAAGAAATCCATGGCTGAAATGCTGCAGTTCTTCATCTAGAACAGGGGTGTCAAACTCACTGTCACAGCGGGCCACATCAGCCTTACGTTTGCCTTCAAAGGGCCAAATGTAATTTTAGGACTGTATAAATGTTAAGTACTCCTTGACAGTTAAGCAAGAGCTCAGCCCTGCCACTGGGTAGAAACAAGGTGCTGGGCTGGATAAAAGAAAGTGGAGGGCCGATTCAGCCCTCGGGCCTGGTGTTTGCACCTATGATCTAGACCATCTCTACTCCTAGTGTGGAGTTGT